TGTTTCTTTACATATTGGAGCTTTTCCTTCCTGTCTGCAATCCTTCTCTCCTTCCTACTTTACTTCCTCTTCTTTTCCTCTTCATTCCTTCCAACTTTTCCTCTTGCTTTCCTCTTTTCCCCTTCCTTTGTTCCTTACCTCCTACTTCCTTACCCCTCTTCCACTTTCTTTTCTTTTTTTCTCCTCCTTCCATCTTTTTTACTTTCTCCTTTTCCTTCCATACATCTCTTCCCTTATTTGTCTTTCTTCCCATCCTTTCTTCCTTCTATCCTTCCCCTCTTCCATCAGTCTTTCCTGCCTTCCCCCTTTATTTCCCATTTTTGTTTCCTTCCATCCTTTCTTTCCATTTGTCTTTTACATGTCCTTACTTTCTTCTGTTCATCTTTCTTTATTCTAGTTTGTCTCCTCTTTTCTGCACTTTTCCTCTTCACACATCTTCCATTACAATTTATGTAGTTCTGCTGTACCTGTGTTACAAGATTCCCCAGGCTCTTCTATGAGAAATTACACATGTGCAAGTTGAAGTGGACTGTAATCTGTAAACGCAATGACCTGAATGCTCAAGTTCACATGACAGGAGCATCGTGCACATATGGTAGTGATGCCTGACTCCTCTCAGAACTGCTCAGCCCTGTGCCTTTCCATCAGGGGCATGGGCTTGGGCTCAGCTCTGGACATTTACAAATCTCCTCCGGACTTGGCTAAATGGAAACCATCCATCAGAGGTGACAGGAAGCAAACAAAGCCCCAACTTTAGCTGCTTGGATGCTTTTGATGTCATTCTGCGTTCTAAGCCGCTAGAGGTGGGTGACCCATATTGGTTCATTGGGGAAGCAAGGGAGAACACTGAGTGCAAGATCAGTAGATGAAGTGAGTGTGCAAACCAACAATGGTTGACAGAACTCTTTTATACAAGAAGGGTTTGAACATTCAAAGTCAAAGTCTGTGAGTGAGGGGGTGGTCATTGACTTGGATCGTAGCAGATCTGTGTTTTAATAAGAGAACTGCATTGATGAGGATTGATCAGTGGTGGCGTGGGAGTGGGAGGCTGGGATGCTAGGATTAAGGCCGAACAGTGTAATGTCTTCTAATTCTGACTCTTGTCCATGGTTTTTCTATTGTTCCGTTGGTAGAGTTAAGCGGCATTGAATTTGAGAGTTTGAGAGAAGGGATTTGGGGGAAGGTGGAGAAAATGGGAGAGAGCGAGAGGCTCAGAAAGAGGATAAGAGTATGATACAATGAAAATAAAAGAAGAGTGAAGAAAAATGGTAGGGTGTGTTAAGAGGATCTAAGATATCAGAATAAATGTGATGGACATGCAGAGAAAGAATCTCTCCAGTCTTGACACCCTAAGAGCATCTCCTTTGTCTCGTTGTCTCATGTCCAGTTTGAGTAATTTATGGCTGTTATGTTAACCATAACTAGATTTTTCTGAGGAAAAATCTAGTGAGTGGTTATTACTCTAAACATCCATGCTTCCATGATGCTCGGATGTTGTCATGTGATTTGGATTTCTGGGTATCTTTTAGTATGTTATATGGTAGGGTATTTCAGGTGGTTGCTACAGTAGGTGGTTACTTATTGGCTCAGTAAGTAGAGGGCCCACAGCTAAATCTCTATAAATTTCTGTTCCCAAATATATTTGATTTTGCTGCTGATACCAGAACACTGAAGGTGATTGTTTATGACATTTGAGATTTGGAAAAAATAGCTTTTTGGGGTCTGATGAATGCAGAGGCCATATCAATGTCACTATAATCACTGTTGCAGAATGCACAGTTTTTGCTGGAAAAACCATGTTGGTTACCTGTGCAACTTGAACAGGTTTTTATAGCCCTTTTAAACCCAATGGTCTAAACTGTCACAGGATTGTGAAGGGCGTATGATAGGCAGGACCCTTAAAATAGAACTTTCACTCCTTCATTTATGTGGATTTATTCCATTCTCAAGGGATTTTTTCATAAATTGGAATTAGCAGCATTGAGGCAGTGATCTGAATGTGATGACATGAATTATTGATTTCCCTGACAGCTGCTTGCAAATCTAGCCTGACATTTGGAAATAAGACGGCATGGAATTATGGCCAGAAAATAATGAAGGCCATTTGTGTCGAGACGAGAGAGGGAGTGCAAAGCAAATGTCTTTTTGGACTTATTAATATTCATTAATACCTCCTGTCAGAGCACCATTGAAACAATTCATTGCTCACGTTTACTGTGTTATGTTCTTTATGATTTATTGATGTGTGTTCGAAAGAACTGGGTGGTTATGAAGAGACACCTCAGTGAAATCTGATTGCTCACACAAAACCAGATCATTGTCATCGAGAGTCAATGATTTCAGATTTTATTTCCAGTAATGTTTTTTCTTGCCTTGCAATCCTTCTTTCCTTAGATGATCTAAAAAAAAAAAAAGCTTTCTAACTAGTTTTTTTTTTTGCATTAAACTCTTTCTGCGCATATATTTGAATCTTTCTTGTGGAAATTTGGTATGGTCGCATTACCTGTGTTGTGTTCTCTCTTTAATTAATTGCTTCTGTTTCTATTATTCTCATTTGTGAATCACTCTGGATAAAAGTGCCTGTTAAATGAACAAATTTAAATTATTTGTTTGTTCTCCGTTAGACTATAAATAATGAGTAATTTTAGATGATAAAATGAGGCATAAAATTAGGCAGAGAATGTCCTAAAAATTGCTAACTTGTATATGCGATACCTCCTACTAAAAGTGTATACCTCCTATCTAAAAGTGTAATTCTGAAAGCTTGATCCCACAGGCCTCCTTTCCCTGTATATATTTGGCATTTACCTTTATGCTGGATTCTGTGCAACCTGGACCCCTGGCGTGACTTTTTGCTCGATCTGCATTATAGTTCCTTGTGGCACTATAGAGCCAATCATCTTACTGGTTTCTGTGAAGCAACCCCTGCTGATGCCACATTAGATAAATTGATCCTTATGTAGCCAGCTGGTCTGTTGTGGAATTAGAAAAAAATGGGATCCCTGGGATTTTCTGTGTAATGTCAGCAGATATGGGTTGTAATCTCATTCCCTTCAGTGTGTTTGGCTTTAGCTGCCTTCAGTTGGCTGTCTGTTTTTGCCACAGTCCTCCCGGCAGTGGTAAAGTGCATTGCGGTTTAATGTCAGGTTGTAAAGACAGCAGCAAAAACAAACAGTGGCGTACAAACACAGGTCTGATACCACAAAGTTTGCAGTCATTTTTGTTAGTGCTGTTTGCAGAAATTAATCTGACAAGCCATGAGATTGGTGAGCTTTGCTTTCATATTTCATACATTATAACACTGAGATGCGCTTGCATTTTGGTTTGTATCAGTGTATGTGTTCTGCATAGATTTGGATGCCATATCACTTATTTTGGTGTTTTTCCCATCTGATTTTGCTTGCCTTGCTGGAAAACACGACATTATGTATGTGCTTGCTTGGGTTATTTTGTGTGTTTGCATCTCTGTGTATCCATGTGCATATTCATTGTGTTTTCCAGAGAATTGTTTTTATGACCTTGTCAGTGCGTTGAGGCATTGATGGAGTGATTCGATCCCCTTTTGTAAGTTGGTTTGGATAAAAACATGTGCTAAATGCATAAATGTAAACACAAATTATTGTATAATGATCCAAAATTGGGGGATGGGCTAATGGATAGATGGGTAAGTGTGTATACATGTAGGCACAATAATATAGGGGTTAGTGATCTTAAAGCATGTTCAAGACTCTTTAACGTCAGTTAGTTCAATTGGCAGCCATCTTAACAATGACCTTGGGCAACATGGATGCAAGTAATAGAACCTTTTACATGGGTCAAGGATTTGTTGGTTAGCATGACCCTGTTCGCCCCTGCTGGTAGATGCTATAACTACACCATCTGGTTCTAAAAGGCAAATTTCTTAAAATTTCTGTTTTGTTTTGGTTTATTTTAGTTTGGTTTTTGGACACTTTTTGTGCTTTTTGCTTTAGGTTTTGCTTTTTTGCTTAATTTTTGTTTTGTTTTTGTAAACAACATACAAATTGTAAATATATTTTATTATGAAAAACATACCATCTAGTTCTAAAAGGCGATTTTCTCCATTGTATGCTTTTGTTTTGTCTTTTGTGTTTTTTTGTTTTTTTATTATTAAACTTGTTAATCTTAGTCTTAGCCTTTATTCTGGAACTACAAAGCCCCCTTTTTAAAGATTGGTCTAGCTTAGGGCTGCACGATAAATCGCATGCGATATTTAACGCACATCTTATCAGTAAAGCCGGTTCTGTAATCAGCGGTAAATCTCCATCACCTGCGGGCTTTCACATTGAGCAGCATTAACTACACAGAGCCGTTGTTCACTGACGAGCAGCGCAAAAAATCACGCGAATATGAACGTGGTTTTGCGCAACTCGTCAGTGAACAATGGCTCTGTGTAGTTAATGCTGCTCAATGTGAAAGCCCGCAGGTTATGGAGATTTACCGCTGATTACAGAACCGGCTTTACTGATAAGATGCGCGTTAAATATCGCATGCGATTTATCATGTAGCCCTAGTCTAGTTTATTCTAGCTATTGTCTTTCTTAGTGAGACATTAAGGTGTGGGGCTTCCTTTTCTTTACTACAGCCTCCATATTGAAAATTGTGATTCATTGTTGCACAAGTGCTCTGTCCCCTCATACAGTCGCACAGCAGTTACTTTACGAGCATGAGCTTCCATCACTTATTGCTTGTACAGGCAACAAATAGCTCCTTAATCATGTGTAATATGAACCTCATTAATTTCAAAGGATTTTGTTCCGGGAGGCACAGTGGCATTTTTTTCCCCTCTTCAAGTAGCATATTATACTCCCAAGTGAATCTTTTATGTTGGCTAATAAGGTCTAAACCATGTACTCTTTTCTGGTCTCAGGTTGTAAGTAATGCCATTTTTCAGGGTTGTGTTTAATTCTGCCGCTAGAAGCTACAGATTTTGTTGTCTCGGAGTCTGTAATGGATTCTTTGCTGTGTGTCTCTTTTTCCAGTCTGTCCCCCGGGCACCTATAAGATGTCGTCACGGCAGCAAGAGTGTTTCTCGTGTCCAGCTAACAGCAAGGCTGAAGAAGAGGGCTCTGTGCTGTGTGTGTGCGAAGATGACCACTTCAGAACTCCACTGGACCCTCCATCCGCACCCTGCACATGTAAGACAGTCCGCTTGTGTGTGTGGTGAACGCTTGTGTGTGCATTGCATGTGAAGTTATTTGTGCACAGGTATTTATTTATGTTTGTTCTCATGTTTGTACAATCCAGTCCTGTTGTTTCCTGGTTTAATTTTGTTTACTGTGGGGTTTAGCGCTGCCAACAGGAATGTTGTGTTTGTTGTGTGTACAGTTAGGTGATATATATAGTAACACTATTGATTAGTTGCTTATTAGCATGCATATTACTAGCATATTGGCTGTTTTTTAGTATCTATGAAGCACATATTAATGGCTTATTCTGCATGACCATATTTTAAATCCCTTAATCCTACCCCAT